TCGGGCTCTCTTATAGCCATAGTTGCCAACTTGGTGCTTAAAGCACTAGATTTAGTGCTTTTTGAAAATTAGAACGCCAAAAAAAGTTACTTAGTGCCTAGTGCCTTTTTTAGTGTTTTATTTTACTAATATTACTCCGATATAGTTAAAACCTGAAATAACTTGAAATATTATAAGCTGTCGTGTCTCATGAAGATGCGGAATTTACAAGAATATACAAATTTACATGCACTAAAATACAACCAAGATTGATAAAAAGCTAAAGTTGCAAACCCAACTTGTTGAATTCAAGTTGCGTTGAAAATGCTAGTACGCAGGTAAGTTAAGTGTTTCTTTTCTTCTTTTCTAATGTTTGTATAAATTTTGATTTTTTTACCACCTGAGTAAAACACATCGTTTCTTGGTGCTGAATCCAAATCTGGCCGCACAATTGCTATAGTACTAGAATTTTTAGAAAACACGGGTTTTTGCGATATTTGAGGTTATATAATGAAAACATCAAATTTTTTGGTCATTTCTACTTAGGGAATTATTTTTGTGTGTTGCGATTCGATATTTCTTTCTCGAGATATAGTAGTTTTAATAGTACTTCGGTAATACGTCGTAAGCATGAGTCATCAAAGCATGTATAGAGGCTATTCAATCGTTATGAGCAAAAACGTTTTGTGTATTGATTTATGTATGTATTCTTGTAAATATTGTTAATTTTTTACTTTTGTTAAATACAAACTGTTATGAAAAAGCATCCTTTGATTAAAAAAAATTTGGTGCTTTTAGTTTGGTAAAACGCCTTTTTCCAAGTTTTTGGTGCTTTCTGAAAATTAAAAGTTGGCAACACTGCTTATAGCTGACTGTAATGTCAAAAAATGTAAATAAAGAAATTAAACCTTTGTTATGCATTTACCATATTTGATAAAACTCTATATCTTTGAAATGAAAGTTTTTGTAAATATGAACATATTTAAAATCTCATTAGAATCCGCTTCATTTTAGTTATTGCATTTTCGTTTTAATGTATATGTGGAAATGCATACTTGCACAAAATTACACACTAAATGAAACACGCATTTATAAAACCATTTTCACAATTTTCTTGCTTTTACTAGTCCAATGTTTTAGAGGATTTATTTTTTATTCAAATAGTTAATTCTAAAGTATATTAGACATTAAAAAAAGTTGTATTCTTCTAAATTTACATCAGAACTTAACTTCAATAATTTAGCTATTAAATTTTTGCAATCCGAAATTTTCTTTCCATTAAATTTATTAAAAAATACTTCCAGTTCCTGTATGTCAACAAGGAATTCTGGTTTAGGTTTTATCAAACAGAAATTTGGTCTGTCCACATATATGAGTGGAAGATTTTCTCTTCATATTCGGTATGATAAATCCTGCACCTGGGAACAAACGCGTCCGCTTAGAAATACTGGGCTGCGAGGGGCAACAAATAAAGTCACTGGCACTAAAATTGTTTTCGCGCACACGTGAAGAATCTCCTAAATAATGAAATATCGCAGCAATTTGCCCACCATTGTCGCTTCACTTGACAATTCGGAGGTTTAAAATAATGCACAAGTTTGTTGTCCTGGGTCTTGTCAAACACAACATACCGCCCGTAATTCCCTTTCATTTAATTATGTATTTAAAATTAGTCACACAGCTCACAATTGAAAATTGAAATAAAAAAATTTAAATTTTGAATATTATAGGGATAAGAGTTGACATTTCAGTCGCAGTTCAAAAGAGAAATGTCGAAATCACTTCTACCTTGTTATGCCTTGGTTTTACCCAAAATGTATTCAACAAAGTGTGATTGATTTTGACATTGCTCTCATAAGAAACAGGCTATAATGTCAAATTGTAATGAATTGTTAACCCATTTGAAAATGTGTTTTTTTTTTTT